TAAAATGGGTTCTCCTAAAAGCTCGAGAGCTCTCTGAATTTCTTGGCTTTTAGTATTTGGAGAACTTATTTTGTTGTGGCAAGATTCTGGACTGTGACCTTCAGCACCAAGATCCGTAGAAGTTTTTTAAAAAAGCTATTATTTGAAATCGGTGCTTAGATGCCTGTGGATTCATACTGTAGTGATGTGTGGAGCACCAGCTATTGGGTAAGAGCTGTGCGGAGCCCTGAAAGCTTGTGGTTATTACAGAGAGACCTTTCTCACTGCAGGAAGTAAGGCCCACGGAGTCTGCACATTGCGAACCGTGATTCAGACACGAGTTGCCTGATTCCAAGTTCTGGGCTTTTAATGTTAGATCATAACTGGCTCAGCTAACAATGTACCTATTTTTATGTACATACTTTAATGTATTTTCAAAAAGAAATTAAAAGCCAAAAATAGATTTAATTAGGAATAGTAATTTAAGCTTAAAACCCTATGCTCTGGGAGGAGAGTCTGTCATACAGTTATCTGATATGAGAGGGGGCAAATATTCATTCGTTTGGTTCACCCATCCTTGCCTGAGGAGTGAGGAGCAAGCCCTAGACACCTGGAAGACATCCCGGACCTATTTCTAATTCAGACACTTGAAAATGTATATTTTGATGATGAACATTGTTAACTATTTAAGGTCATACAATTTAACCAATCCTGATACTGTTTCTGGTGTTTTTCCAGTGCAGACAACTTTGAGATGGACACTTTGAGTGAACTGTCTGGGACATTTTCTCACCTTAGGATATGTTTCTAGAGTGGGGAATCCTGAGAGATTATTATTTGATGGAAAAATAATAGAAATTCTTTTACTTAAAGCTTAGCTGTTAGAAACCTTTGTCAGTTAAAGATATTTTATCTTTGAATATGTAATACAGATCAATGTAGACTTTATAAAAATAACCATTTAAAAATAAGTAATGCTTTTAAGTAATTTTAGAGTACATTCTTTATAACTAAGTTTACTAATGCTTCCCATCCCCACTCCAAATTTATGTCCACTCGGAACTTTAGGATGTGACTTTATTTGGATATAGGGTCTTTGAAGATGTAATTAGTTAAGATGAGGTCATGGCCCTCAATCTGACATGAATGATGTCCTTATAAGAAGAGAGCCATTATAGACACACATGGAGGGGTGAAGAGGCAGAGACTGGACTTAACGCCTCCATGAGCTAAGGAACGCAAGGATTGCTGGCAGCCACCGGAGGAAATAAGGACGGATTCTTTGCTAGAATATTTAGAGGAAGCATGGCCTTGCTGACACCTTGAGTTTGGAGTCTGGCTTCTAGGGCATGAAACATACATTTCTGTGATTCTAACACGGTTTTGGTACTTTGTTACGGCAGCCCTTGGAAACTAATACAATTAGGAAATTTATTTTTACTTCTGACTGCTGTGTTAGGGCCAGGTCAATGGAGTAAAGTTTTCTCCTGTGGAAACTTTCATTTAAACAAAAACTTTCAACAGAAGTACTATAAAAATATACAACACAGGTAGAATTCTCTGATTGCAGGGAGAGGGGGCACTGTGAAACTTCCAGATTAGCATCTCTTCCTGTTCTCTGTCCTCTCCTTCCTGCTCTGTAGAGCAGAGATTGAAACCACTGGTCTGGCCTAACTTGAAACATGGGCAAGAAAGTCAGGTAAGACAAAGCACATCGAGCATCTTTTGCTGAAGCTGGGATGGAGAGGCATGTGCATTCATTACCCTCCAGGGTCTGGAAAGTTTACCTTCTTCAGCCTCTCCTGTGCTGAGATGCAGTGGTGCAGATGCTAGCTAGTATTTATGGAGGGCTTACCCTGTGCCAGGGTTGGGCTTGTTTTAAGGAAGAAAATCTGTCAAAGGAGGAGGAACTCGTGCTGTGGTTGCTAGAGCATTGTCCCATGGCGCTTGCTGAGTGTGGCAGACAGGTGCTGGCAGGTGTTTTGCTTACTGTCATATGCAGTTGTGGTCCTGTGGCCAGGGACCATGTGGCCTTGGGTGAGGTCCCTTATTTCACTGCATGAGTCCCCTGATAGCAGGCTGTGCTCTTGAAGCATCCCTCTGGTTAGATGCGCTCTGTGTGGGTTTCATAATTCCCTTCGCTTCCAAGTTCTTTAGGACACCCAGTTTTGTCTGTATGTATTACCTCAGTCGCATTTTTGAGTGTTATTCAGAATATCTGGAATGGCCTGGCATGTGAAACGAGGGGATTTAAATGCTCAATTAAGCAAGTATGATTTTTGAAGTAATGGTGTTGGTAAATTTTGAGCATAGGATACATAGACTCAGATTGTAGTTACTCTTCAAGTAGCTTTGCTGGGTGGGAGGTGGGTCAGCAACCAGCATGTGTGTGTGTACTTCCTTAAAGAAGCACTTCCAGACCTTTCCAAGAAGGGGACAGATCCACTAGGCACTGATTCTGGGTGGGCTGCTGTCTAGATGTGGGGCTTCTGTGAGTTGTGAGTGTTGGGTGCCCTCCAAGCTGCGTTATGGCTTTGAGGCATTGATCTTAATGGAAGCTTAGACCTCGAGACAGACTCATAGCATAAATATATTATACTATTATTGAATCTAAAGAAATTGATTGTAAGATGACTGTTATTTTATGTTACACCAAATGGAAAGATACCGATTGAATATATTTCATCGAATATGAAGATGTCAAAACGCGAAAACATTTGTGGATGAGGTATTTGGTACTTTGTGGCGTGGATAACTGCCAAGTGAGAGTTGGGACCTTCCTTATCCTTAAAGGTCAGCAAAGTCATAGATTATGTTGACAGTTCCTCTTCCTTAGTGCCATAATAGTCTTGCTTGAATACTTGTAATGCTAGACATACCACAAGCCTTGTGACAAATAAAATGGTGACAATGCCTGCAAAAATTCTATCATGTAGGAGAGAAAGTAGAAATTTAAATAGGAAACTTGAACTTTTAATCCATTTGCCACTAGTACTAAAATTAGTCTTTATGTAGTGCTCTGTTAGAGGGAAGCTGAATGCTTTTTATATGAATATTTTATTCCTTTGTAAGTTGAGTGAACTTCCTGGTGGGTTGATATAATTACAGTGATTGTCATTATGCCTGAAATGGGAACCTGAATTTCAGCCTGTGATTTGGACACGTATACAATCTTTTGGTAAGGAAAAGTCTGGTGCTAAGAATAGAATGATTGACCATGTTCTAAGCAGGTGGTTATTTTTAATGTCTCACTGTGGAAAATTAGATGTTAAGGAATCAATGGTTCCCTTTTGACATAAAATGTGAGTGTGTATAAATGTTATCAACTAAGAAAAATAGCAGAAGGCATATCAGGTTGGCTTGATTTATACCTTGTGTAATTTATTTGAGTTACCAGATATTAAAAATCAGGAACAGAAATTAGATTTTTAAAACATTAGACTTATTCAAAGCTGTCAGGCAAAAAGCTGTCACTTGAAAAAAATGTTTTTAAACTAAATTTGGCTATATCATTAAATGTCTACATTTAACTTTGTAGACATATGTTAATAGATCTGCATGAGGATATACATGGAACTTAATGATTTGTTAATTGTGTGGCCCTTAAAAATGTGCAGTTGTTTTATTTTATGGAGAAATGGAGATATGCTTTCAGTAGTGCCAAAAGTTATATTGGTAAGATTTATAATCTTATCTAAGATGTGGTACAAAGAACATTTAGGAGATGACAGTCTCAGGGCCTGTCTGCCTCTCGCTTGGGACCTTAAACAAGTTCCTTTAGTTGCCTACTTAGAGCCTTAGTCTTCTAATCTGTGAAATGAGGGATTTTACGATATCTATTTTAATTGTGGAAAAACAAAACAGCAAAAAATAGGCTTTAACATTTTTAAAGTGTGAAAACATGTTTGTAAGAAAATAGCCTTCATGTTCCAATTAAATAAAGGAGGATGAAATAAGTTTTGAAACACTTATCATATTACCCTGCACAGAGTATATGGTTAAGAACTATTTGTAGAATTGAACTAAGTAAATAAACCTTGTCAAATGTTTTCATTAGAGACAGATGAATATCTATTTGTTATAGAATCAGGAATTCAGATTAGGGAAAAAGCCTTTGGTACTTAAAACAACTAGTACCAAACAGGATTTACTAGCTTAATTGTAACTTAATACTATCGTGGAGTGGGAGAGATACAGCATGATTTTGAGGAACCCACTAAGATTATTTTATTTATATATTTATATGCATATACTTTTACAAACCAGGTGACTTTATTTACAGTGTTTTCACAGTAGTCTTTCATAAGTTCTGGACACATAAGTTTTTCCTTAAGAACTCATGGATCAGTTGAGGCAGTAGGTGTTCTTGAAACATCTGGGCACACCCTAGCACTGTGCTTCTCAAATGGGTGGGTGCCAGCAGGCAGGGATGCATAGGGCGTCTTCCTCGTGTGTAAAATTAACACAAAGCCTTTGGGGGAAAATGTTAAATAACTCAACTGGTAAGTAATGTAATACATTTTTATGATAAGACAAAGATAAATTATCTAGTAGAATACAATATTTGCATTAATTTTTAAGATCAAAGGAGAGTCTTCTAAGAAGTTTTGAGTTTGCAGGCTGTGTCTCTAGATTTCAGGGGTCCTGGTTTCAACTTCTTTAGGGGGTTTTGTTGCTGGGAATGCCTTTGAGAACCACTGCTCCAGTCTAAACGATTTTGCTGTCAAACTGTGATTCATAGCTTCTTGTGCATGTGCAGTTTTGAAATTAAAACAGTAACTCCCCATAATTTATTACATATTCCATATATTAAGAAAAATTAAAAAATATAAGTTTTGTCCTTTAATCCTCCAGTCCCCTTTTAAAGAAGCCACCACCACCACCTACAAATCAGATGTATTAACTGTTAATACCTTGTCTTTCCTTCTAGACCTCTTTTCTTTGTATGCAGGTGTTTACTTTTTCTCTTAAGGAAATACAAAAATAAGTTTATGTAGTATATACTGACTTTTTCCAATCACCATGTTGTTATTTCAGCAGATATTTATTGAATGCTGTCTGCGTGCCAGGCAGGTTGTGGGTGCTGAAGGATCAGCAGTGAACAAACTTGTGCAGTGTACCTGCCCAGGTGGAGCTTACATTCCAGTGATAGCAAACAGACAGATAAGTAAAATGTGTAGTGTTGGACAGTGATGCGTGCTAAGGAGAAAGAAAAAGAAAACCAAGGATAGGGCACAAAGTCTGTGTATGTGTTAGGGGCTAGCGTGCACTTTTAGTTAGAATGGTCAAGGGAGGTCTCAGTGAGATGGTGACATTTGAATAACTGCCTGAAGGAGGTGAGGGAGCAAGCCCTAGAGACACCTGGAAGACATCCCGGACCTATTTCTAATTCAGACACTTGAAAATGTATATTTTGATTGAACATTGTTAACTATATTAAGGTCATACAATTTAACCAATCCTGATACTGTTTCTGGTGTTTTTCCCAGTGCAGACAACTTTGAGATGGACACTTTTGAGTGAACTGTCTGGGGACATTTTCTCACCTTAGGATATGTTTCTAGAGTGGGGAACTCCTGAGAGATTATTATTTGATGGAAAAATAATAGAAATTCCTTTTACTTAAAGCTTAGCTGTTAGAAACCTTTGTCAGTTGAAGATATTTTATCTTTGAATATGTAATACAGATCAATGTAGACTTTATAAAAATAACCATTTAAAAATAAGTAATGCTTTTAAGTAATTTTAGAGTACATTCTCTATAAACTTAGTTTACTAATGCTTCCCCATCCCCACTCCAAATTTATGTCCACTCGGAACCTTAGGATGTGACTTTATTTGGATACAGGGTCTTTGAAGATGTAATTAGTTAAGATGAGGTCATGGCCCTCAATCTGACATGAATGATGTCCTTATAAGAAGAGAAGCCATTATAGACACACATGGAGGGAGTGAAGAGGCAGAGACTGGACTTAACGCCTCCATGAGCTAAGGAACAGCAAGGATTGCTGGCAGCCACCGGAGGAAATAAGGACGGATTCTTTGCTAGAATATTTAGAGGAAGCATGGCCTTGCTGACACCTTGAGTTTGGATGTCTGGCTTCTAGGGCATGAAACAATACATTTCTATGATTCTAAACCCCACGGTTTGTGGTACTTTGTTACGGCAGCCCTTGGAAACTAATACAATTAGGAAATTTATTTTACTTCTGACTGCTGTGTTAGGGCCAGGTCAATGGAGTTAAAGTTTTCTCCTGTGGAAACTTTCATTTAAACAAAACTTTCAACAGAAGTACTATAAAAGTATACAACACAGGTAGAATTCTCTGATTGCAGGGAGAGGGGGCACTGTGAAAACTTCCCAGATTAGCATCTCTTCCTGTTCTCTGTCCCTCTCCTTCCTGCTCTGTAGAGCACAGATTGAAAACCACTGGTCTGGCCTAACTTGGAAACATGGGCAAGAAAGTCAGGTAAGACAAAAGCACATCGAGCATCTTTTGCTGAAGCTGGGATGGAGAGGCATGTGCATTCATTACCCTCCAGGGTCTGGGAAAGTTTACCTTCTTCAGCCTCTCCTGTGCTGAGATGCCAGTGGTGCAGATGCTAGCTAGTATTTATGGAGGGCTTACCCTGTGCCAGGGTTGGGCTTGTTTCTAAGGAGAAAAATCTGTCAAAGGAGGAGGAACTCGTGCTGTGGTTGCTCAGAGCATTGTCCCCATGTGCTTGCTGAGTGTGGCAGACAGGTGCTGGCAGGTGTTTTGCTTACTGTCATATGCAGGTTGTGGTCCTGTGGCCAGGGACCATGTGGCCTTGGGTGAGGTCCCTTATTTCACTGCATGAGTCCCCTGATAGCAGGCTGTGCTCTGAAGCATCCTCTGGTTAGATGCGCTCTGTGTGGGTTTCATAATTCCCCTTCCTTCCAAGTTCTTAGGACACCTCAGTTTTGCTCCCTGTTATTATTACTCAGTCCATTTTGAGTGTTATTCCAGATATATCTGGGGAATTGGCCTGGCATGGAAAACTGAGGGTGGTTAAACTCTCAATGAACAAGTATGTATTTGAAGTAATGGTGTTGGTAAATTGAGCATATGGATAACATAGACTCAGATTGTAGTTACTCTTCAAGTAGCTTGCTGGGTGGGAGGTGGGTCAGCAACCAGCATGTGTGTGTTGTACTTCCTTAAAGAAGCAGCTTCCAGACCTTTCCAAGAGAAGGGGCAGATCCACTAGGCACTGTCTGGGTGGGCTGCTGTCTAGATGTGGGGCTCTGTGACTTGCTGGGTGTTTGGGGTGCCCTCCAAGCTGCCGTTACTGGCTTTGAGGATTGATCTTAATGGAAGCTTAGGAACCTCTGAGAAGGACTCATAGCATAAAATATTATACCTATTTAATTGAATCTAAAGAAACATTGATTGTAAGATGGACTGTTATTTTATGTACCACCAAAATGAAAAGATAGCCGATTGAAATATATTTCATCGAATATGAGATGTCAAAACGCGAAAACATTTGTGGATGAGTATTTGGTACTTTGTGGCTGTGACTTAACTGCCAAAGTGAGAGTTGGGACCCTTCCTTATCCCTTAAAGGTCAGCAAAGTCATAGATTATGTTGACAGTTCCAATTCACTAATTTGAAGTTTTTAAAAAAATCTGTTATGCTATCCTTATTAAGTTTCTATTGGGAAACTGGCCAGTTGATACATTTAACTTCAGCCTTTTTGTTTCCATTAAATATATTTTATAGTACCTCTTTGGCATTCTGACAGCATATAATGAGGGCAGGTATCAGTAGACCTTAGGGTGGAAACACATCCGAGTAAGTCCAGTCTCCTTGTTTACTGCCCAGGATGCTGGATGTCCCAGCATCCCTCTATCCCTTTTCCTTCCTTCCTTCCCCTCCTCCCCTTCCTTTCTTTGCAGAGATGAAGTTTTTCAGCAAGTAACCTTTAAAGTTTATGGATCCTTTAGAATTTTGTAGAAGGGAACAGATAATTCACTTCATTGATAATTATATACCTTGAATTTCCCACCTTTATTTTCAGAGAGGAGCCCGAGGTCAAATGTGCTGCTGCGGGCGGTGCTGCTGCTCTGAGGCAGAATCCCAGAGGGGAGCTGCGCCGTGGGAGCTCCTCCTCCAGCTGCTCTGTGCTCCTGGATAGGTGAGCAGCAGAAGCGGACTGTCACTTCCTGGGGCGGGAGGTGGGGTGGGGTGGGGGCTGGTGTGTGTGCTAGGCATGGGGTTATTAGAGAAAGTTATAATGCTGTGTGTTCCAAGCTGCTATTTTGAGCTCTCTTAGAATAGGGCTATGTAGGAAGAATGTACACCATGGGGAGTTTGATGTGAGTCATGAGCCTGTCACCACTTTCCTAGTGAGACAAGTTTATGAAATGAGACTTCTGAAAGTGACAAGTAAATTGAGTTTTCCTTTTATTTAAATGTTCTTCAAAATTATTCACTTTACAGTTGATAAAGGCAAAAAATGATTAAAATGGGTTCTCCTAAAAGCTCGAGAGCTCTCTGAATTTCTTGGCTTTTAGTATTTGGAGAACTTATTTTGTTGTGGCAAGATTCTGGACTGTGACCCTCAGCACCAAGATCCGTAGAAGTTTTTTAAAAAAGCTATTATTTGAAATCGGTGCTTAGATGCCTGTGGATTCATACCGTAGTGATGTGTGGAGCACCAGCTATTGGGTAAGAGCTGTGCGGAGCCCTGAAAGCTTGTGATTATTACAGAGAGACCTTTCTCACTGCAGGAAGTAAGGCCCACGGAGTCTGCACATTGCGAACCATGATTCAGACACGAGTTGCCTGATTCCAAGTTCTGGGCTTTTAATATTAGATCATAACTGGCTCAGCTAACAATGTACCTATTTTTGTGTACATACTTTAATGTATTTTCAAAAAGAAATTAAAAGCCAAAAATAGATTTAATTAGGAATAGTAATTTAAGCTTAAAACCCTATGCTCTGGGAGGAGAGTCTGTCATACAGTTATCTGATATGAGAGGGGGCAAATATTCATTCGTTTGGTTCACCCATCCGTTATCTTCCTGCGGACCTCCTCCGCCAGATGCTGTGCTTGGTATTGGGACAGAATGGTGACCCACTCACATGTGTTCTCATGAAGCTGAGATCTAGGGGGAGAGAAAGATTTAAGTTAAAGCAAATCCTAGCAAATTGGGGTATATGCTGTCAAGAAAACAAATAGATTCCATAATCCAGAATTATGGGGTGGGGTGGTGAGGAGAGACTCTCTGAGGAGGTGAGGTTCAGGTGAGAACTGGACATTGAGGAGAACGAGCTTGGAGGGGAGCATGCCAGAAAGGGGAGAGCACAGGGGCAGAGGTGGGCCCCAAATGCTGCAAGATCCAGGTAGGAGGGGCCCATCAGCAGGGCTGCCAGGCCCTGGTAAGGGGTGTGCACCTTATTCACAGTGTGGCATCATGTCATTTGGTTTTTACAATTATCTTGTTTACTTATTTACCTGTTCGCTCTAGAAGGAGGGGAGATGGAGAGACACAGGCAAATGCGAGATGTATTTGGAGACATAACTGACATGACTTCTTTGTGAATGACCTTTATGTTTGGGGGGAACAGAACAGCTGCGCAAGTAGGGACCCAAAACTGTGGGCTTAAGCAGCTGTGCGAGTGAGGTGCTGCTGGTAGAGATGGAATGGGGGTCATTGGGGGTCATGTTGATGACTCTGGACTTGCTTGTCACAGCTGAGTTGGTAGGACACGTGCAGAGGAGGGTGCCAGGTGGACAGTGGCTATGGCAGTCTGGTTCAGGGTGAGACCATGCGGGGCTCGCAGCCATGCAGGTCCTCAGGGGCTGGTGTGGAGGAAAGCAGAGGGGGCTCAGGAGCAGGCCCGGGGACCTGGGACAGGGAGAACCACCAGGCAGCCAGGGAAGACCCCCGAGGCCAAGAAATCAAGGAGGGGGGCTCTGTGTGAGCCAGAAGAGGAGAGGGCTGCAGGAACAGGAGCGGGGGGGTTCCATGCCGCCCAGAGCGCTGGGCGGGGCAGAGGGCAGTGGGGGTGCAGGGCCGTGAGAGCGCGGTTTCGGGTACGTGGAAGGGAATGGGATGGGTACTTCTTTTCATATTTTGGTGTCATATTTCACACTGTAATGTGAAAAACAAAAGAAAGTGGGAGGCGTAGAAGTGGAGGCAGCAGGTGTAGACACATTTTTTGTTCTTTCCCAGAAGCTTGGCAGTGAGAGGCTGTGGTAGCTGGAGGCTGGGGGTGGGGAGCAGCAGAGGAAGAGCACACTTTCAGCGTGTGAGATCCTGGGAGTGTTTTCTGGGTGGAAGTGGGTGGTGCAGAAGGGTGAGGCAGAAACAAAACGCCCTTGAGGACCTGACTGGGCACCTAGAGCACAGGTGCTTTTGTAGGGCCACCTGCACATTCTCCATTGGAAATGGGGGGAGGGGGGAGAAAATTACAAATGCAAGAATATTGGAATAGGTCCACGATATGGAAAAGGGGCAAGGACGTGTTCATATCTCAATTCCTATACTACTGAAAATGAACACACACAGATTAAACTTTCTTAGGAGAGCCCATTAGTCTGAAGCAGAGTTTCCTTGTTCTGATATTTTGAATGTCTTTGGTTGTTCTACCTCCCACCTTCCTCCTCCTCTCTCTCCTCCCACATCCCCTATCCCTGCCCCTTGCAACGTGAGGTAATTGGAATCCAGTAGAAAGTAACCCCATAGGGGTACAGACATTGACTGTACCAGCTTTGAGGAAACCCTATGAACGATAATTGAGAATGTCTTTGATCTCTACTGTTTTAACTATAAAGTTAAAATTTCTTCTTTTGCCAGAAGTACACAGAGAGGATCCTCTTTTATTATGTTCGTCTGGTGGGTAGGAATGTAAAAACCTGTCTTGAGTAGCGTTTTATTCTGGTTAAGTAATTCTTATATTTGTTGGTTACCTTTCTGAAGTGTGGTATTTAAGCCCAACTCTAAATTTTTTTTGAATTACACTGATTTAAAAAATAATAGCTATGAATTTTTGTGAAATAGTTAAATCAAAATATGAGAACTATATACAATGGATAATTCAAATGTTCATGAAAATGAACATTTTCTCATGTTTTCTTGTAACTTTGCCATCTCTAGCATTAGAGACCTTTTCTCATTGAAAGGGTTTAATTTATTGACTCAATGTAAGGGATTTCTTTAGGGGAGAGATTGATAATTAGGCAAAGCTTTTCGTTAAATTCTCGGAATGTCTCTGGTTAAATATCTCTTATCCCGGAAGCTTTGAGCAGTGGGAGGACTTAGTGACATGAGTCCCATGTGTATGGCATTAACCATCTTTTTTCGGGGGATCCACTTAATTCTTTCTCTTCAGAATTTTAGGACTGATTACTTCCTTGTGAAACATTTGGTAACCTGATTTTCATCATAAAAGAAAACATTTAAAATTGTTAAAATCACAAGTAGAGAGTATGGGCAAGCCATTTTAAACTGGCTCAAGATCCCCTGCCCCGTACTTCCTTCCTAGATCCCCTCACCCGGCTCTCGGCTGCGACCCACTGCAGCTCTCTCTTCATTGGCCCTGGTACCAGGGGTTCACAGGGGTCCACAGAGGCTGTTCCTGACTTCCTGATGCTAGTGATGCTTTCTAGCATCTTCGGATTCTTACTGTGTTTTGTAGAATTCTAAGATCATGGAAATAGTTGGAATATTGAGAATACATCTCAATGTCACATTTAGGCACATAAACGAAAAAGACACTTCAGAAAACTTTATGGGGCTTGGTGTTTCCTTGAAGCCCCAAAGCCATCAAAGGTGAGAGGGCATTCAGCAGGGTACACAGGAATGACATGGGTTAGCTGCGAAGTGAGTTGGCGTTTCCCATTACATTTATTTTCGACGGGGGTGGGGAAGGGTCTGTGTTTTTCTTATTAATAGCTAAGAAAGTATTCTCTGCCTTTTCTTTTATTTCCTTTTATCTCACCAAAGAAAAATAAAATACATACTTTCACACAAGAGGTAGTGAAATCCTGCCTGTTGATTCATAGTGTGTGGACTTGATTAAAATGCTGAGGAAATTAGCTTTTGTACATTTGGGTTCACGTACATGACATAAACCAATAAAGTTTATGTCATGAGAATTACAATAACTAGAGAATTTCAATCAAGAAAGTAATTGAAGATGAGGGTGCACTTTGACTCTTAGACAGGAGGAGTCTATTTATTTCCATCTATTTAGAGATGAACGGCCAGTCCTTTTCTGGATAATTTGTAGATTGAGCACGGGTTTCTGATTTTCCCCCTCTCTCAGAATGCCTTCGGAAATCTTGCTGAAGATATTTTCCTACTTGGATGCTGTGAGCCTGCTGTGTATTGGCTGTGTGAACAGGCGCCTTTATCATCTGGCCAATGACAAGTAAGACGCAAACCAAATCTCTGTTAGGTTTTGATGACAGTTTGATGGAAGTCATGAAAACTACTAAGAACTTTTAACCATTTTCTAAAATGGAAGAGAATTAATTTCAAGAGTATTTTTAGATACACAGAAATATGTCTGTTGCTTTAAGTAGTCATGATATTTTCAAATACTTGCATCTGTCTTCTTAGAGAAAGGAATATTCTTTGCATGTACCAAAAATGATCAAACTTGTTATTGTTATTGCTGTTGGGGAATGCAACTTTAACCCCTCTGTTAGCCAGGAGGACTTGGCTGTGTTTGTCCCAGAATCAGACAGTCTTGTCCACACAGTCTCAAGCAGCAGCGCTGCAGGGACCTGCCCACATTAACTGTGGCCCTGGATGCGTGGAGCAGAATGAGTGCTCTCTACTGGCAGTCAGGCAGGTCCTAGAGAAGAAGAGGAAGGGGTGAAAGTAAACTTAGCTCCTCCTCCCAAACTCACCCATCAAATGTATTTGGGAAGAGTGAAAGGGGAGGAGAGAGGCCAAGACTATCCTGTCTTGGAGGCTGTACCCTTGGAAGCAGGGAGCCAGAGGAGAGGGAGTCACCTCCCCCACCTGGGCTTACGAGACATCTGTGGAGTAAAGAGGAGAAATGCTCACTTCGGTTTTGTCGCTGTGGTCTTAGCCTGCAACTCAGAATTTTGTCTTGGAGACATGGTGGAATCCTCCTAACTTCCGGTAAGAATGTCATGGCCTACAACTTAACATTGTGGTGTTTTAGGGGACTTCTCTCTTTCAACATCAAAAGGTCAGACAACTATTGATCCTATGTGGAACCCACATACCAACTAGGAAAGACATCAAGATTAGAGGGAATGCAGATTTTAAAAATTTTTATTTATTTATTTTTAGTAGAGATGGAGTTTTGCTTTTGTTCAGGCTGGTCTTGAACTCCTGAGTACAAGGAGTCTTCCCACGTCAGCCTCCCAGAGTGCTAGGTTTATAGGTGTGAGTCACCATGCCTTGCCTGGAATGCAGGTTTTAACTGGTGGTTTTGTTTACTAGATAAGGAAATGGAGGATGACAGAAGGACAGCCGTATATTATTATATTTAATCCTGGACCATGGTGGGCAGGGAATATTTTCTGGTATGGTGGTTCTCAAATGCCTGTCCATAGAGGATTTCATCAGAACCAGCTGGGAAAGTTTAAAAAATGTGGATCCCTAGCCTGCATTTCTAGAGATTGTAATTCAGTGCTCTGGAATCTGTATTTTTAAAATTCTCTAATGAATAGTCAAGTTCTGAAATGACTAATCTAGTGCATCTTTGATGATGGATGTCTGCCACTTAAGTGAGGAACTCAAAACAGCCTTCAGATCTCATTAAAGCTGTAATCAACCACTTTTATACTCAGAAGGGGATATATACCATTCTCTTGTTGGCAAGGGTGGTTTTTCTTTTCTTTCAATTTAAAAAGATGTTTCCTGCACGGAAGAATATATGTCTGTCTGTCCATCTGTGTCAATATGTACACACACATATCGTTAAATGAAATAATGAATCATGTTCTTGAAATTAGTTGTAGTATGAATGTAGAGTAATTTTTAAGTGTCTCTTTCCTATTGACCTCATAAGAGATGAAGGTGCTCACCGGAGCAAAGTACAGTGAGGCATTCGTCAAGGAAGGAGTCAACCAAATGTCTAAATCTGTAGTGTTCTCACTTTATTTAAGGATAGAACTCAGAATCTTTAGATAAGCTGATAAATTATAGATTTTCTAGTTTCTTTACATTTCACCTCTCTCCACTTTACCTTGATAGGCCCAGATGGTGCAGGAACTAGGCCTTTAAGCAGATTTAGACATTCTCTGTTGTTGAAGGCTCAGGGAATAAGAGTGTGAGCTCTGATTGAGGCTGCGTGGATTCAAATCCCAGCTCCCCCACACACGTGAGTGCACAGACCTGGGTCAGATCCCTTTGCACCTGGGCCTCAGTTGCATCATCTGTACCATGAGAACAGTAATAGTGGCTACTGACTGGGTCTGTTTTGAGGATTAGTGAGTTAATGTATATGAAGTGCTTAAACAACATTTGACACATAGTAAGTGCTCAAAAACCTTATGTTAATTGTCATCGTTAGTTGTCATTATAAATAACCTTCACTTTTTTCTCTTTGTGAAAGCAATGCATGTTCCTTGTTGAAAAATTAAAAAATAGGAAGCAAAAGTACAATTCAGTTTTCACTGTTATTAATAATACTTTGTGTATATATCCTTTCTGATCTTTTAAAAATCATGCATATATTTTAAAAAAACAAGGTAATAACCACATTGTATATACTTTCTATTTTTTTTTTTTTTGGTAATAGACCTCCTATTCAGTTATTGATGTAGGAAGGCAGTGGTTTGGATGATCCTAAATATTAATAATATAAGATTGCTCTCTTTAAACTTGACCCTGGGAAACAGGCTTTTCCTACTTTTATGTTTTTGGTATTAGTGAGTCTAAAACAATCAATCTCTAACTGCAGTTCACTTTAACACATGAACAGCTACAGATGTTCAGCTTGACTTATTCATGGAATTGGACTATTTAAAAATTATTATGCATCTCTTATTTAATATATTGCTACTACAGGTACATGAAAATGTGTCTTAGTTAACATATTTTTTCTCCCCTGCCCCCACAGTTTTATTTGGATCAGAATCTACTCAACTGCTTTTCCATCTAAAAAATCTAATTGGAAAGTTAATACAGTAGAGGAGACGGCTGTGTCTATGAGCGTACTGTCAGTTGAAGATAAAGAAGCTGGATATTGGAAGAAAGAATATATCACAAAACAAATAGCATCTGTAAAAGCCACACTAGCTCAGGTTCTCAAACCTGTCAACCCTTACACAGGCCTTCCGACGAAGACCACAGAGGCCCTCAGGTATGCAGTGTGCTCCTGAGCAGCGGCCATTGGCTGCTTGACAGCACTGTAAAATGTTTCTGTTTATAACCAAAAAAGGACGATGGTGTCAGCTCGGAGTATTGTATATAAAGGACATATGTGCAATTTAGATTGTGGGGGACTGTCTCTGATATGTTTGTGTTTTTGTGCATCTATAAAATATATAGTATTTTCCGATTCCACGTACCGTTAGCCTTCCACATCCACAGACTCAACCAACTTCAAATTGAAAATATTAAAAAAATCCAAACAGTAAAAAAAAACTACACAACAATAAAAATAATACAAATAAAAAAGGCAATACAGGGTAACAACTATTTACATGGCATTTCCATCGTGTTAGGTATTATAAATAATCCAGAGATGGCTTAAAAGTATAAGGGAGGATTCCTTAGGTTGTATGCAGATACTGCCCCATTTTATTGTTAGGGACTTGAGCATCCATGGACTTTGGTTTTGTGGTGGTCCTGGAACCAATCCCCCAAGGATACTGAGAGATAAATAGTATACAGCCTAAAGTTCTTAGGAAAAGCAGATAAAACCTAGTGATCTGCTCTAGTAAGGCAAGAATGTTCAAGGTGCCCTTTCTTATGTATGTATTGCCATACCCGGGGCATCATAGATGTCCAGTGAGTGTTAGGAGAAAAAGTCTAAAGAGAAAAATGTTGGTGAAATGAAAGTTATATCAGGCATGTTCTGAGAATTTTGACTTTCACTTTAGAAGTGATATATAAAATTGGCTTCAGCTTTTCTTTTTTTTTTTTTGCTATGAGGTAAACATTTTTAGCTTTCTTTTCTTTCTCCAGAAAATCTGGCTTAGGTTGGGCAATTATATTGAAAGAAAAAAGTGGAAAAGAATATATCATGGAGCATGTTGATCTTTCCATAAATGACACATCAGTTACTGTTCTGTGGTATGGCAAAGACTGGCCGTGTCTAGCGTCATTGTCAACCTTAGACTTGTGTGGTGTGACACCAGTTTTTATGGACTGGTATAAAACCCCCACCAAAAATAGGTAAGTACTAATTCAGTAGAACTGTTGGGTGAAAGTGTCTTGTATGTAAATATTAGTTGGCATTACTTTTGTAGTTCAAAAATACCACCATTATATTTTAATTTGACTATATCTTAAAGATTTTTCTATCATTCTGCAGCACTATAGAATAGGAAAAGAATGGGTTTATCACATTTCTGATTAGGTCTAAATTTAGGTTCCTTTTATTTTGGTTGTCTATAATGGTGGGGAAAGATATTGTAGTTAACAAAATTTCCTGGATGATGGCTAAATTTTTGAGGTTTTTAGTTTTAACCATTTTTAAGAGAAAGATACATAAAACGATTATATTTTCCTTCTTTAATAAATGGTACGCTAACTGTGGTCTGAATATGAGGTCTTGAAGTCATAATTATTACTTTGCCTTTCTCTTAAGCTTACTAGGTATGTGGCCTTATACAAGTAACTTTTTCTGTGCCTCCATTCTCTCATCTGTAAGATGGGATGATGCTGATGTAGTATTTAGTATGTGTGGCTGCTGTGAAAAATATCAAAAGATACCATTGTAAAATGCATAGATCAGATGTGTGTGCATCCCGCTGCTAATGCCCGTTGAGCCCTCAGTACTACTGTGTCATAAGGTGGCTGTGTGCCGAGTCCACACTCATTATACAGCTGGCACCTGCCTTTCCCAGCACATCTCTCGTGCTCACTTTAGTCGTCATTGGGTGTTTTTCCTAAAAGCTGGATTGTGACATGGAAACCTGAGCAGGCTGTCATTTCTTTAATAAAATTTATTGTAAATGCAAAGGTGGCATCTGCCTTCCCCAGTGTTGGTTTCACGTCCTCTCCCATCTCTGGTGTTTGACTTTCCAGCGGCATTTACCGTGTCATTTTTCTTAGCGTCCCTGCATGCTCTGGTTCCGCCCATTGGTTTCTCACATCTGTCCTTGCTGTGGACGGTGTTGAGACAGCTGGCATCAGTGCCTGCAGTCTCCATGGAGGGGGACAGGTTCTTTCATGGTTTCCCTGGATACAGATGCGTTTTGTGGCCCCTCTGTAACTGGGCCCCTTGTTTGAGGCCCCTCTCTGGGGTGCAGGCTCTGAGGGTTGTCAATTGATCGCTGAGCTCTCTCCCCATGCTGTGAACGTGAGAATATTCAGACCTCTTCGTTCTGTTAAGTCCAGGTCTTATTGTATTCTCAAAACATCCTTAATACTGTGATGAAAAAACTGTAAGTTATTTTTCCTGATTATATTACTGAAGATATTTTAGAAACAAGTTATCTTTTTAAAGTGGTATTTTTATTTGAATAAATCTTTGCAATTCATATGATATAATATGATAGATACCAGATTTTTCTAATGTAATAGGTTTTATGCATTTTGAAATTATGTTTGGAGAATGAACCCACAAACTCTGTACTAGTTTGAACAGTATATTACTTGGCATATCATGAAATGTTTATAGATGTTAGGATAAATGCTTAACAATTAAAATGATCATGAAAGACTAAGTTAAATGGATAATGTTGAATTGTAAAGTTCAGTTAGAGATGGTATATTCCTGAAAATTGTCATCAAGGTCAGGAATGCTAGATACCACATAGTGACAAATGCTGGAATTCATTGGAAAATTAATTTAATGTAATTTATGTCCATCAAAACTCAATGGGCTTCAGCCAGCCTTTGAAAAATGGTGATAAACAAAACAAAATGTTTTTTTAGGAATCTATTTTGATAGGCATTTTTATTACAAGTTTATAAGTGAATGCTTTTATCATGCAGGCATATAAATCCTAGTGTGCATTTGTGTGACAGCCAGGAAGAGATTTTGTGGTTTTTATGTGGGTCCTTTTGTTTCCTCTAGGAGAGTTTTTTCAAGAACAGTGAAAGCCTTATTGGTGTAATTTGCAATTTGAATTTGTCTGTAATTTATATATACTTTTCTAGTCAGCCTCTAAATTTTCTTGCTTGTCAGTGTTTTCCAGTCTGTAGTTTATGCTGTCCTCCTCCAGTGTGCGATAACTGTCAGGGAAATGTCAGCCTTAGTTTCTCTGCAGCGGCCTGTAAGCCCAGCACGTGAGGACTGAAAGTCCTCCTCAGGGTGGACTGAAACACCTCTACGGCCAGGAGTGTGTTCCAGCTTTGGACACATTGAAGAGTGAGGGAAGAGGATTTTTCATGTCCTTACCCTCCGTCCACATTAATAGTGATACTATCCACGACCACCGTTTATTGGGCACCTGCTGTGCGTTGTAATGCTCTCGTCCCTCTGAGGAGGCCAGTGATCTTTTCACACACAAAGAAACAGTCTGTGGTGGCGTGGAGTCACTGTAGTTTGGAGCTGAGGTTTCCCCGAGTCCACAGTTAGGTTCTTACCCCTATGTTCATCCTCCTCCAAGTATATTCTATATGCACTGAGTTTATTTTTAGTTTATACATCACACACATGCTCACCGACCACCTCTCCTTACCCAGTTGTGTTTCTCAGCACGAAAAGTTCTTTTGAAAAGTTGAACATGGGACTAGGGTGTTATGGTAGCTGGGGATTTAGTTTTGATGCCTTACAGCCGCTCTTTTATTTGAAAGAGTGCCACAGCTGGTATCCTTTTTAATACTCAACGTACATTTGAACACCTGTTGCCTGCCAGCTTGTGCATTAGGTGCTGGAGGCCAACTCCTTAGAAATTTTGGTCTGTGCTGTATTCATTGACCACTGAGATCTCGTCTCCTTTATAATTTCCTGAGTGATCTCTAGGGTCCTGGGCATGACAGACACCTTTGTCTGCTATTATAGTATAGTGCTTATAAAAGGTTTCATTGTAGACGATTTTAAGTCTTATAACGTTGTCTTTTCTTACACATCTGAGTATTTACTCTTAGTCACTAAGATAGATTTCCCAATGTCTTTCCTTTATGAAAACACTCATGATTTTGAATTTATTTTCTAATGTTTCAATTTTCATCATCTCTGACTTACCCTTGATAATAGCTTTAAACGGCACATCTGCTTTCAGACAGCCCACTGAGACCACCTGCTTTTATGTCATGTAGAATACTTTGTCTTTGCTTGTGCATTGTGCCACTCACTGGTGAGGAACAGACTGTAGTGTTGTGCTGGGTTTGGGGGAAGGAACAGAAGATGGTTCTGCCACTTCATCCCTGTCCTGATCCTTCAGCTTCCTTCTGGCTGGGCAGAAGACAGCGAGAGCAACAGGGAGGGAAAGGAACAACAGTTGGATGGGACATTTGAATGTATCCACTTTGCCTTTTGTTTGTACCAGGCATTTGTGTCCCCACCTCACCAGTGTGCCTCTTAGTTGAGCACATTGTTAACAAGCTCTTCAAGTGTATTTTTAGATCTATTAAGGCGAACTGGCAACACTCCCCATAGAAAAGCTCATTTCTCTCTTTCCTCTTTTGGCATGAATGTTCACAGACCTCGATGGCATTCTTTAATTACAAAGTACAATCTGAGCCATTTAACTGAATCCACCATGCTTGGCTGGGACAGACTCGTTCGGATCTTCTGCCTAAGCCCTGGCCTTCTGGTGGGGCTGTGGAAGGTAAGATTCAAGCCCCTGTGTGTGCATCCTTTCCCCTCACAGTCAGTAAGAGATCAGATGGGAACTCCTTTGAGGCCTTTCAGTATTTGCATCCCATTTTACTGCCCTGCCAACTCCGTTTTCTGGTGAAAACAGTCCTGTCCATGCCATTGAGGTTGCTCTGCTGTTCTACTGTCTCAGATGACAGAGCATCTCTTCCTGCCTTCGTGGTTGTGTTCATGTTATTCTTTTAATGTTGTGGGACTTTGCCCTTTCCCCTTCCAATCAGCCCCTGTTCCTTATTGTGTTCCTTTCATGTCCTTTCTCTGACAAAACCTGTTACTGTGTGTTCAACATGCTAGTGTCTCAAGCCTGTTTCTGATCCTGTAGATGTGGTGTTGGTTGAGTACAATCTGCCCTTCAGGGTAAAATGTCTAAGAAGTTATCCTTTCTCTCTGCATAAGGCTCCTTGTTCCTCCAGATCAGGCTGATGACTAGGTCTCTTCTCTGGGGGCTGTTTTCTGGGCGGTCACTTCAGTGAAAAGTAGCACAGTACAATGTCCCTCTCTGTACACTGTATAATGCAGGTTTAAGTCTGTGGCTTTGGTCCATGGATGTCTTAAGATAGCAGTTCACAAATTCAATTCTGAGACTGGGAGTGTGCACCTGTATGCAATGACAAGACAGAATCAAGACCTGCAGCTTCATTCAGCATCAGCCTCTTTTACCTTTTTCTTCCCTCAACCTACGGTGTCAGTTTTCTTCCCTCCTTCCCTTCTGTATGAAGGTGACTTGTGGGTGAGGCCACACTTTGCCTGCTGTGTACATCATGACTTGAGTTCCTTGGTCTGCGCTGGCCTGCAGAGTGACAAGGGCTCTCCGGTTGATCAGTTGTCCTCTGCCTGGCTGTTGGAGAATGCACCTTCAGGTTTAGCACTGGGGCCATCTCTACCAGTCAGGGTCAGCTGTGGATCTGGGGAGAAATGATCAGTTCCTGAATAGTTACGTTTTCTGCTGTTCAACCTGATGGACAAGTGAAGAAGTTGAATGTAATTATTCCCACTGCGTTTGCCAAGTCAAGCAGTTACTTGATAGAGGAATGTTTTGCCAGTAAAGTTCAGTATTTGTGGAATTAATCTGGGATCTGTGGAGGTTTTACCAGTGAAAAGATTTTGAGATGGCCTGGAACTAATAATGTATACTTTTGCAATCATCATGTATAATACAGTGTTTTGATATTTCACAAGTGCTAGGATGTTAATTCTTCTGGTGTTGCATGCTCTGTGTGTTTGAGTGAACTGTGATCCCGCTGTCAATATGAAATACAAGCCTTATTAGATGGTAATAATATATTAGCAGTAATAATGCATTAGCACTGTGGAGATCTTATAGTTGTAAGAAACTGCATCTATCTGCAAGATGAATGTGCTGCAATCTTCACAATGACCTTGTGAAAAATTAAAATATTTCAGTTGAAAAATGTATTCTTTTTAATTAACTTTTCAGAAGAAGGAAGAACTGGCTTTTGTCATGGCAAATCTTCATTTCCATCACCTTGTGGAGAGGAGCTCATTAGGCTCGGCCACTACGTATGTATTTGTGGGTGTATTAATTTTTCGTATAGTCAATATTAAGGATTAGGAGTTGATGCCGTCTTAATATCCTGAGAATGGCTGCAGAGAGATTCTGTTTTTAATCAATAGACACAAGCCAACAGGCATGATTACTGTTATAAATAAATAAATTGCAGGCATAATTACTGTTGCTAAAATAATTGGATTATTCATGAGTACATATCTGCTTTACTTATTCCAGGTTGAGGGGTGTCTACCTAGAAGAATATTGTTTATAGGGCAGGATAGCTTCATTACTATAAGATGCCACTGCTGTCCCTGCATTGCATTTGCGGGAATTTTCATATCTGGCAAGGCGTGCAGACTCATAGCCCTCGGGCTGATTTTGGCCTGCAGACAAGTGTTGTATGGTCTGGACACTCTGTGACTTTTAACGAATTTGAACATCTTTGGGTGGGGAACATGCTTCCCATTTCACCACAGCTCTCCCCCTTCCCTTGTGGACTTAGACTCTCCTGAACTCAATTTTTTCTTACCTGAAAAGCTCCTGAATGTTTTTGAGTTTGTCTCCTTATGTAGTAAGGCTTTTCTTACTGAATAAAGCTTTATTTATCTTTGCTGTGGGTCTTCCGCCCAGGATGGTAACCTAGAGATGTGTTGCTTGGTGCATTTTCCTGCCGAGCACTTCTGTCCTCTGGACATGGAGAAGAATGCCGAGGGGCAGAGCTGCCTTTGTAGCACTGCCGTCCTGCGCTCGGAGCAGGAACTCGTTCACCTGTGGCCGTCTGTGCTGCCTGCAGACTCATGTCTGCCTGTGTTTGTAGAAGTTGCTAAAAGGAACATGGAGCAGTCCCTTTGAGTTCACGCTATTACGGGAATATAGTTCATGCTATTGGGAATCCTATAGAGTCGCATTAGTAGGAAGTAGTGCTTTGAATGGATGTTAACTTTTCTTTTAAAGTGTGTTCAATCCAAGTGTGTTGTCTCTTGTGCTGACAAATCTGTGTGTGCTGTTTGCTTTCCAGCCCCTACGAGCCGCCTCCTCACAGCCCCTTCCTGGATGACAGCCCCGAGTACGGCCTGCACGGCTACCAGCTGCATGTCGACCTGCACAGTGGTGGGGTTTTCTTCCTGTGTGGTAAATTTCATGATCTCTTCACCAAGAAAGGTGAAATTAATTAGATTTTTGTTTCATTGTGAAATTGAAAAGTTGGGGTCAGGGAACCAATTTTTCTGTTTGAGTTAAGGACTCCTAACTGGTCACTTTAGACTCTGTTGGCAGGTCTATCCTCCCAGACCCTGGATGGCTCCAGCACTGGTAGAATTCCTCAGCTGGCATCCCTTTGGTGCTTAGCCCTGCCTCCCCTCCGTCCCTTTCTACCCTCTGGATATAGTCTTGCTCATCTTTTCTACTGATACTTCCTTGTTGTTTTTCCATGCACCCCCCCGCCCCCACCGCAAACTTCTCTGCTTTCTCAAAGCAATTTGGTAAATTTGCCAACAGGGCCAGGGTAGCACTGTCCAGGATGAGAATACAGAGAAACCTGCCTTCCTCTGTCTGCGCTGCATCCATGTTTGTCGCTTAACAGAGCTGAGACAGAGGCTGGGGAGACAGAGGAAAGGGGGGGACTTTGGCCAAGCGAGAAAAAGGAGGATTGTAGAATGCCCCCTGCTCAGATTTGTCTGATGATTTCTTCCTTGGTACCATTCTTCTGTGTCCTGTAAACTTGTAGTTTGGGTAAAGACTTGCTTAGATTCAAGTTTAACATTTTTGGCAGGAATATTTTACAGGGGAAACTAGGTACTTCATTGTATATCATACTAAGAAGCATATCATGTCAGGTTATCTTGCTCTTAGTAATGCCAGGTTCATCATTTGGTTAAGGTGGTGGCCGCTAGGTATCTTCATTGTAAAATATTCTTTTCCAAATACCCTGTTCCTCAAAAGTCTTTCACCTAATGGACTTGACATCCATTAATGATCTTTGCCTAAATCTAAAAAATTTTTGTTTGAATTTAGAAAACGTTTTTTCTAATTGTCATCATTTCTATATTTATTGGCTGAGCTTTTGTAAAGAACTTTCTGTCATCACCTGCGCGAATCCTATAAAGACATGACAAATACTTAATTCTTTTCCTTTTAACCACCAATTTTCAGATTAATAAATTGATGGTAATAGTTGCCTCCGGTGGTGGAAATGATTTTTCGAGTGCTCCTTTTCTTTCCTGTTTCTCCGTTTCTTTTCTCCCTTTCTCTTTCTTGTTTAGTGTCACTTTGGACTCTTGGATAGTTATTTATTCAATAATTTATAATCAGGTACAGAAATTATTCTTTTTGAAGCTAAAATTGTCCCCAGTTTGGTCTGTGGGATCTACTTCAAGCTGGCTTCTGAGCCCTTTAGATACATGCTAGTCTTTGTCTTTATTTCTTAGCTCAGGAAGATTTCTAGGTTTTCCAGTGCTTCTTGGTATTTTCTGTTAGAATGAGATCAAACATATATATTAATCTGCAGTGAATTGACTTCTTTGTTGTTGAATTGTCCCTCCAAGAATGTGGAATGTTTTCGACTTGTTAAAAAAATACTTTTATGTCTTTTAGGAGTGTTTCAGGATTTTCTTCCTGCTAGTTTTGCACATTTTTCTTTTATGTGTTTTTTTAAATTTCAGAATATTATGGGGGTACAAATGTTTAGGTCACATATATTGCCTTAGTCCCACCCGAGTCAGAGCTACAAGTGTGTCCATTACCCAGACAGTGCGCACCACACCCATTAGGTGTGTATATACCCATCCCCTCCCCCTCATCTGCCTGACACCTGATGAATGTTACTACTATATGTGCACTTAAGTGTTGATCAATTAATACCAATTTGGTGATGAGTGGTGGTGCTTGTTTTTCCATTCTTGTGATACTTCACTTAGTAGAATGGGCTCCAGCTCTATCCAGGATAATACAAGAGGTGCTATTGTTTTTTATGGGTGAGTAGTACTCCATGGTATACATATACCACATTTTATTAATTCACTCATGTATTGATAGACACTTGGGTTGTTTCCACATCATTGCAGTTGTGAATTGTGCTGCTATAAACATTCTAGTGCAGGTGTGTTTTTATAGAATGTCTTTTTTCTTTGGGCAGATGCCCAGTAATGGGATTGCTGGATCAAATGGTAGTTCTACTTGTAGCTCTTTGAGGTATCTCCATATTACTTTGCATAGAGGTTGTACTAGTTTGCAGTCCCTTCAACAGTATATGAATGTTCCTATCTCTCCAAATCCATGCCAACATTTGTGGTTTGGGGACTTTTTGATAAAAGCTATTTTCACTGGAATTAAGTGATATCTTATTGTGGTTTCGATTTGCATTTCCCTGATGATTAGAGATGTTGAGCATTTGCTCATATGTTTGTTGGCCATTAGTCTATCTTCTTTTGAAAATTTTCTGTTCATGTCTTTTGCCCAGTTTTTAAGGGGGTTGTTTGATTTCTTCTTATTGATTGTCCTGAGTTCTATATAGATTCTAGTTATCAGCCCTTTATCGAATGTGTAGCATGCGATATTTTCTCCCATTCTGTAGGTTGTCTATTTGTGCCTAGGCTGATGTCTATAAGAGTTTTTCCAACATTTTCTTCTAGAATTCTTACAGTTTCGTGCCTTAGGTTTAAGTCTTATCCACTGTGAGTTGATTTTTATGAGGGGTGAGAGGTGTCGATCCTGTTTCAGTCTTCTACTCTAGGGTATATCACACTAATGGTATAAATTTAAGTCAGCTAAGATAATCCTTCTCTGTGTGGTTATGTTATCACCTTGACATACAATGAGAGCAATTTGTTTTGATTCATCTTTTGTTCAGGATTTCTTTGCTTCTATTTTCGCATTAAAAAATTACACACCGCATTTATGTGGTTCCAGTGTTGAAACTGAAATAAGCAATTCAGAGAGGTTTGCCTTCTGTGCTTGTTCTCTCTCCCCTCTCCCTCCCCTCCCTCAAAGGGACCTGTTTATATTAGTCTTTGGCTGGGCTTGTTCTTCAAATGTTCTTTTTGTATATGCAATGCAATACATTCACATATTAATATTTCTCCCCAATTTATTTTTAAATGAGGCATAAGATACTCCTGCTTAAGTTCTTTGCTTTTTCTCAGTTAATAAAATATTCTGGAGATGACTCTTCAGTGTAGTTTACAGTGATCTTTATAACTTCTCGTTTTAAACAGCTATGTGGGCAGTTTGTTAATGGCCTTTTCTTTGGTTTCCAACCTTTGCAATTACACATAGTGGCTCACAGTAAATAGCTTGTTCATATATCATTTTATATTTTGCTGGCTTATCTTTGGGATACCTTCTTAGAAATAGGAATACCTGGTGAAAGGGCAATTGCATGTATAATTTTGAAAGACACTGGAAAATTCCCCTCAATTGCATTTGAACCATTTTGTGTTTCCAATTTAATGGGGATATTTTAAATGTTTTGTTAGTGAGTATATTTGCTCAAGGTTTTTGTTATGTATTCTTATAAGTTAAGGAAGTTTCTATTCCTAGGTTAGTTGAATTTTAGTTTTTTTAAAAAATCAGGAATGGTTGTTAAATGTTATTAAATGTATCTTTGGGGAACTATTGATGATGTAACTTTTTTTCTCTTTGGCACTATCAACATAGTGAATTTCATTAATGTATCTTCTAATGGTAACTATCCTAGAATCTCTAAGATAAGTTCTTCTCATCATATGTATGTTTATTTTTAAGCTACTGGTTTCAGTTACTTGGTATTTAGTGTGTTCCCACTTTCATTCATAGATATTTGAGTGTCTATAGTTTTAATTTTTTCTTATTATTCAATCATAATCAAGTTTTCTACTTTTCATTGAATCAAATTTCATAATTATATGGCTTTCTAGAAAATCATATTTTCTTTAGGTGTATTTTGATCTTTTTCCAGCTTTCTCAGTTGATGGCTTAGATTGTTTAATTTTCAGGCTTATCTTTCTCCAGTGCTCTTTCTGCTATGCCCAGAATCTTGAACCCACAGGATTAGGAAGGGACTGAAAGGGAGTCTGGAGAATGACCTTTCCTGGACTTGAGTGTGCTCTGCAGCCGCCTTGGCCTTGGGTGGCCACTTGCAGGTGCTGGCAGCCTCCTGATCAGGTGCCCTGCCCTGGGAGCAGCTGCCTGGTTGTGCAGAGGTGTGAAAATTCTGCCTTTTAGTGAGCCCATATTGGTTTTGTGCACCTCAGTCCATTTGCCTTTATTCTATTATTTGGGGTCTCACAGACAAAACCTCATCATCTTCCAAGTTTATGCTGCCGATGGAGCCACCAGCATGCCCGATCTCTACCCGGGGTGCCCATGCTGTGTCCTCTGTGCTAGTGCTGGCAGAGAACTTAGTCTTGCTCTTCATGGCTCCAACCCTTGTGTCCTCAGGTGCCTCCAGACAGAGAGTGGAGTTGGGTGTCCAGCCTGTTCTGGCCCCACCTTCCTGAGCAGCCTGCCTTGGTGATAGGTGAGCAAGATGCAGTTTCCACAGTGACAGGGTGCGGCAGGGGTCCCTGTCACAGCTGCTTCCCAGAGCTCTCCTGGCCCTCCAACCTTGTGAGCCCCCATAAGTCCTGTGTAGCTCTACTCTGCCTCCCTGTGCCCCACGCTGCTGCTGGCTCTCTCTGGCCTATCCCTTTCATCCACGCCCCAGCTCTGCTCCAGCCATGATGGCTTCCTCACCGTTCCCAGACTGGGCCAGGCCTGCTGTGTCCTCGGATCCCCCTCTGCCTGCAGTGTCATTGCAGGACATCTGTGCCTAGGCCTGCTTCAGGCCCGGCCTTACTGCACCTGGAAGCTCTTGTTCTCCAATCTCCCAGCTCTGCCTGGCCTGATTTTTCTCCATAGCACTATCACACTATTCAATTTTATTTATTTGGTTGTAGTTAAATTTTACTTTAATTAAAGTAAGCTCTGCAAGGCAATATTTTTGCCTATTTTGTTCAGTGTTATCTCTCAGAATAACAGAATCAGTACCTGGCATATAGTAGGCATGCACGTAAGTATTACAAAGAGAGTGGATGGTGAGCTGCCTGCTCCCAGGGGCATGCAGTCGAAGGGTTCTTAGATAAACCGTCCTGGGCCTGTTACCTTAAAGCTCCCCTGTTTCCTTAGTCAAGGGATTCTGAGCTGCA